GACAAAAATTTCATCACAGCTTGAAAGAGCATCACAAAATTAGTAATATTCCAAAGTTTCGTTGCGAAATGTTGTAAAATGCGGATAATATAGCCTTGCGAAGTTTGCCGTTTTTCAGTCATTTTGTATTACAAACGGGAAATTGACAACCCCAAAAGGTATTGGGCTGTCAATATCCCCCGCGTAATGCAAAATGACTGAAAAACGGCAAACTTCGCAAGGCTATATTATCCGCATTTTACAACTGATTTCGCAACGAAACTTTGGAATATTACTAATTTTGTGATGCTCAAGCTGTGATGAAATTTTTGTCTAGACTTGTCAGTTTAGATCAAAATTTAGTCTATAATGCAAATGGTCCATTAGGCGTTCACTGCTATTTTATCCCGCCTTCATTTCAAAGTTTATAAACGAATTGCGTTCAGCAGTTATGAACTTTAAACATGTAATATTTTTGTTTGTGGAAACACCGCATAAATTTATTCAGTGCTGCAAATCTTTCGATCCGTACTATGCCCGGATCTTCATCAGTGTTAATAATATAACTTTAAACGTGTGTCTTCAATATCTTGTTGAAAATGTTAAATGCTTTATAAAAGTTCACAAATTTAGACGCAATTTCGTTTGTAAACTTGTCTTTGAAATAATGGCGGGATAAAAATAGCTGTGACCGGAGTCTAATACATTTTCTACCAAAAACACAGTTTGAATTGTGACCATCTGAATAAATCCGTTCTACTTGACCGTTCACAAAAAAGAAACTAAGAAAAAATTTCGACAGCGAAATTTTTCTTGCAACGTGGAAATCCAAGTTTACTTCCATTTTTGCCGATGATCGCGATAATTTATTTCGACGTACCGCCATTTTGAATATATAATCAATCGTTACGATGGCTTTCCGAACACGCGCCGAACAATTTCCGGAATTCAAAATAACACGTGTAGCGATACATAAATTATAATATATAATTTTATCTCTAAGGCCCGTTTTATACGTCGAATTTCGGTCGTGTCGAATGCAATTCAAACAATAGATAATGAGGTTCATCATCTCATTATCTATTGTCTTAATTGCATTCGACGCGACCAAAATTCGACGTATAAAACGGGCCTTACATGTGTTATTTTTAATGTGCATGCATATTTCTTATTTTATGGTGATGATAATCATTGTCTAATGGTAAAGTTTTTTAATTTCAAAAGGTGATCCGACGTAAAGAGTCAACGATGCAAGCTAAGAGAGCTCAACATGAAAAGACCAGAATGAATGAACCGTGGATGCATGATATGAACCCAAGAATGAAGAAATGAAAATTCGCAACAATCAGAAACAACGACATTTCTAACATGAAAGTAGTGAAAACGTATACCAATGTAAGTTAAAGACAAGATACTTGTTCAGAGATCAAAGGGGATTCCAGCGAATACGAAAAAATATGAAAATCGAATAAAAAAGAAACAATTGACAAATTGCACGGCAAAATTAATACAAAATCAAGGTGATTATCATGTGCTTTTGTTCGAAAAAATAAAATAAAAAACATTTTCGGAATTAGCAGCACGAAATTAAATTTGGTATATTATTTTGAAGTGTTTATGAAAAAAATATAGGATTAAGTTTCACATTAAAATTAACAATACCTTAATCTTGCTTGGAAGATTTTCGATTAATTGCGGTCTTTGCTGAAAACAAAATGTCACCCGTAGTTAAATTAATAAACATGGATTCTAGAAGTTGGCCAAAAATCTTTTTAAGGAAATGCTTATAGTGGACGGTCTTGCATGCCTTTTTCATCGTCATTTAGTTTTGAAAGTAACAAAATCCATGTTTATATTAACTATGTACCTGTATGTTTATATAATTCTTGCATTCGCAATGAAATCAACCTTCGGCGAAAACAAGCTAGCTGCTAGCATATACAGTATACCAAAGAATGAGTTCACGCATGAAAAACGATAGAAATTGGTGACTGATTTTTTAGTGTTTCAATTCCCATGGGAATATACTACCTTTGTTTTCATGCTAATTGTTTAAACTGTGAAAATGTTTTTCCGTATTTTTAATTCCCATGGGAATACATTTGCTTTGTTTTCTTGTTGATTTCATGGCGGAAACTTGACTTTATAATAAATCCTCTTTGACTATAGTTATGCAAGTATCTTGTTATTTGCACTAAAACAAATAACGGAAGTGGTTTGAGAGCAGCTGCGACGTACGATGCAAATCATGAATGAGCCGTTCCGATCAAATGAGTATGAGAATTGCGGCCTTTAAAATTTGGATCTGTTTGAACTACAGTATATACATAAACTGTGCATGTACTGAATCAAAATTATACTATATAGAAATTTATGTTTGCATGCATGCAAACTCCTATATAGTCTAAATAAAAGTCAAGTCTTTTTTTTTTCTTTTCAACGCTAATGATGACATATAAGTTGAAGAAACCCAGTTTTAAAATAATTTCGTTCAAAACTTACACATTCTCATACTTATTTGACCGATATTTTGGGTAGGTAAGTTTAAGGTTCATACTTATTTCGGACAGTTAACAAAACCAAAACCCATGCCCTTTCAGTTAAGGTTTTACATTTCGAACCAGAATCCAAAACTCAGTCTAAGTGGGTTATAGGATAGCTAGTGATAACGTAATTTATCTTTTTATTTTGATTTTTTGTTTATAACGTAATTTAATAGCTAAATGTATGGAGTGCGAGAATGTGCGCCGTGTGAATAGGATGCATGGGGTTAGGCTAAACTAAGCGGTAAAGGAATTAAAATTTTGAGAGCGTATTTATTAAAGAGAAAATATATCATCTTTCTGAACAAAAGGATTAATTTTTCCTAACATCAACAAAATTTGTCGAGTTTCGTTATTTAAACTAAAATCGTTGTAAAACTGATATTTAGAAGAAAAAATAGTAAAATACGGGTTTCACGGTTTCGCAGTGTTTTTCTATGTAAATTTCATGTATATAAGAGGCAAGTGAGCAACTCACCTATTTGTACACACGGTCTTTCGTAATCATCAACCTTTAATTTATTTGTTTACGTTTGGCCTAAAATATCCGAATTAATTAAATTAATTATGTATACTTTACCAAAATTTTAATTCCTTCAGTTTTAAGGGTGGGCAGTTCGGGTTGGTGGCGGGTTGGGCAGTTGTGAGTGTCTGTGTGATGGTGAGGAAAGCGGAAGTTACGAATGGAATGCAGGCAGCTTAGGACCGAGGCAGACAGTTTAGGGTTGAGGCAGGTAGGCAGTTGGCAGGAATCAGTGGGGGGCACTTGTCATTTTCGGCCATGGGATTCAAATTTGCATGCTAATTATTTGTTACTAACGTTTGTTGTTTTACGTATTTGCCAGGTATGCGCGTGGCTGCTCTCAAGAGAAGATCAACTTGGCAATTTGCATTAGCAAGTTTGGTCTTCTCTTCGCCCCGCTACCCCGGCTGGCTCTCCGAGTGCTATCTCTACTTTAAGCAGAAGTACTTTTAAGTAGAGTGCTTCTGCTTGAAGTAGAGGTAGTACTTGGGGAGCCGGCCGGGGTGGAGGGATTTTTTTTTATTTTTTTTTTCAATTCCCATGGGAATTGAATTTTTAATTAAAAAGGAGTCTCTTGTATAATTAATGAACAATTTATTGAAAAAAATTTGTAATTTTACAATTTGAATAACAATAAAAAGAGAACAACACTGCATACTGTACTTATTTAAATAACAATAGAAGAAAACAGAACATGGCACAAGGAAAACAATTAACATTGTGTTCAACACAAGTGAATAAACACAACATTAAACATGTTTACCCGCGAATTAACATTGAAAAGAGTTAATTCTTGAGGAAACAAGAGAACTTGGTCTTTTCAAGATAAATGTTTATACTTCAAAATAAATAATTGTGAAACAACTGACAATATGTTTTGAGTATCATGGAGATATCCAAAGCATGACACAGAGTTGTTTCAAAATTACAAGGAAAATATATGGCTCAAAGACATAATAATTAAAAGTGAATGGTTTTCCTTCTTTTATACAAGTAATTTCGTTAAAGTGTCTGTAATTTTCTCTTGAGTATGGAAAATGGTTTAATTATTAGAGAAAGTCGATCAGCAAGATCACTCGCCAAGTTTTGGCAATAATATGTAATGTGTAAAGAAATTAATTTTGAAAGTGCATAACGTTTTGCCAATGCTTGATAGGATAAGTACTCCATGAAAATGTACTCAAAAATAATATTTTCCAGAACGTGAAACTGTACGACTACATCATTGGTTCCATACTCAGTTGGAAATACAATTGTAAATAGAAATAGAAAAAAAGTGAGCTTTTTTCAAATGCCAAATAAAACAAAATTGAAATTATCCCAATCTTTTGAAGCCATATATCTTTTAGTGTCGTTTTTTAACCTGACAACTTATAATTGATTACCATATAATGTTAATACTATTTCAGGTGATGAGAATGCAGTTCAATAAAATTTCAGATGTTTTAATTTTTTATTTATTCGAAACAGCCTACAAATTTCACTTATTCATTTTCTTTTTAATGAAAATCACGTTTGAATTTGTTTTGCTTAAGAAAACCAAACACAAAATGGTGTCGCCACCGTAATTGGCTTGCTTTACAAATTTGAATCTAGTTTTTGCAAAAAATGTAAACAAACTTATGTAGCAAGAAAGTGTGTGAAATTATACTCGCAACATCTATATAGTACCCCGAGTGTTCAAACCAGGCAAATCTGATAAGTTTGCATTACCCTGGTGCTATTACAAATCCACAACCTTCCCGGTTTGCTAGTCCAATGCTCTACCAACTGAGCTACAAGGTCAAGTCATTGCAAGTGAACTGAAGTAAACCTTTCAGCTTGCCCTGTGTTGACAGAGTACATACACCACAATCATTATTAATTCATTGTTGAACCAAGTTTTAATAAAATCTTGATAAAAAATTTTCTTCATGATGGCCAAAGCACAAACGTTTCCTTTGGAAGAAATTAATTAATTCAATTATTTAAGAGAACTGAAAACAGTAGTTAGGTGGAAATTGCAACTGTTACTCAAAAGTGGACAAATTTGACCCACAGATTTCTCAAAGGCCTCAAAATGGCATTGTTCACCACTAAATATACAATATTTCGAATCTCAAGAAGCTAATTTCCATACAATCATAAGAATCTATCCAAACGAAAAAAAAAATACACTGCACTTTCATCGACATATATGGTGGTAGTATTAACATTAAAACAAACCAAACATAAATATCAAAATATGAAATATTTATTCATAGAGAAAGAAATGTCATAAAGACTGCATTTTAGTTAATTTTGGATAGTACTGTTAATGTCAGGTTAAAAAATCTCTTTGAAGTATAAACTTACCTACTATTGTTGAAAAGACCATGTCCAAAAGCCATGTAAAACCTGTTTTCTTATATTATTATTACTATTATAACATACTGTTACAAAGTGGAACTATTTGAAAGTTGAACTGAAGTCATTAGAAATGAACATGCAAAATTAACAAATTAGTTTGAACTGAAAAATAAGAATTATAACCACAACCAGTCAATCAAAATACTGCAAATAATATTTTGTAATTTCAAAGACCAAAATAACTTAAATTAAAGAAATGACTAGAAATAATTGTTGTTATTTAATAACCTCTGAAGTATGGTTCAGACTTTGTAATAAAATACTACACTGAAACTATAAAATGAACACAGTCTTGTCCAGTTCTATGTTTGAATTTTAAGTCACGTTTGACCACCCAATTCACTTTGCACACCCAATTCACTGATATTATTTTTCAGTATCAATACAACCTAGCTTTATAATACAATCATTGGAATAGAGAATGTACTTTCCAATTATAAGAATTTCCTTATTGCTTGTTCATCCCTATTTTTTTGCATTAGTATGAACTTAGTTTGTTGAAGAATTATTGAAACTGTAATGGCTGACAGTACTGAAATTCCGCAAATATATACAGAACATAACATACTTCACCAAACAACCTAATATTTTTAATACTTTTCATTGTTTCTTTCTCTTTGTTATAATGCAAAATATATTCCAAAGAACATGAACCTATTGTCTGGTTGTGGTTTTGTTGGCTATGTGTGACAAAATCAATTTTCTTCTAATTTATACCATTTCGCAGTTACCACAAAATTATAGTTCCACTGCTTTAAGTTCTTCTGTATTCAAACACGTTCCACTTTGTAATGAAGGCAATATTCTAGCTTATTTTGACCTTAAATGTTTGATTTAAATTTGGGAAAGTTATAATCTAAAATCACAAAGCTTGTTCTAAAGTTCAAATTTGTTGTTGAAACCACAAGAATCGAAAAACAATTGAAGAATACAACCCTCTTAAAAGTCAGCACTGTATAGAACTGCCTTGTTCCTCAATGAATCCATTTTACTTTTGTCCAGGAATAATCAAACTCATATATTAAGAGTATGCTGGGGTAAATAAAACAGGACTTAATCCAACAACAAGGCAGTTCGAACAGTGCTAATTTTAGAGGTGTTGCACACTGCAATTGATCCCAAATTCCTTTTTCTAAGATTTTATTTGAAGACTGAAGTAACATCCAGAATCAACATTGAAAGAAACAGTGTGATTTTCAGATAAACTTTCCAAACTTTCAACAAACACTGAAAGTCTATTTGAACAAGAGAAAACTGAGATGGGAAATGGAATTGAATAATTAAAATGGGAAAATGAAATGATCAAAATGGGAAAATGAAATAATCAAAATGCTTTCCAATAAGTGTGAAGACAACTGTTTATCATTGTTCTCTTCCATAATGCTTTGGGTGGCATCAATAAACTCTAATGCACTGCACTCTATTTTGTTATTTTACTCTGTCTAATGCCAGACAATTTTTTATCAAGGGAAGAATGCTGGCACTCATATTTCACATGACTTAATGAAAACACAGATTCCTCGATTTAATGGCCAAATTATTTTTTTAAATCTGAAGCCACATGCCTTTATATATCTAAAGGAAAATTTTTGCTTTCAAATAAAACCATCTCAATTTTCTCATTGTTTAATTGATGTTATACTTCAGGCCAAATAATGACAAATTGTTTTACTTTTTGCAATAAATTGCAATACAAACAAAATCTTTCTAAATTAATGTAAAAACATTGTAATATCAGATAGATATTTTCTTGTGTTTTATTAACTGTTGATCCAAACAGGAAACAGAAATATATTCCATACTGATTCACATCTTATAGGCAATTTCTCAACTTTTTAAAAGACAAACAATTTATCATTTTTTGGCTTTTCCTGAAACAGAAATGCTTTGAAAATTTGCGGCATTCCATGATGAGTGGCAAACAAAACTTAATTAATTAATCAACCATTCCAGCAACAATGAAACTGCAATTCCCAAACTTATACTGGCTGAAAGAGTGACAAAAAATATTTCATGTTTCTATTATTTTTTGTGTGTGTCAGGAATGACTAAGATAGCAATTATAATATTTTTGCAATATTCTGCCAGGATTTTAGAAGAAACGTAACAATAAACAAAGCCACTCAGACCACGGGCAAACATATAATGTTCAAAGCATTTCATACTTAAATAAGATATTAAAATGTAAAGACCTTTCATATACATTACTTTCATGATCCATACAACTTCAGTCAATATCCATCCAACATATATCTAGGAGAATTGAAAAAAAATATTGAGACATGAAATTAATGAATGATGGGTTTTGATTTAATGTGGGCATGCACATGGAAGCAATTTTGAAAGATTCATTGCCTTTTCAATTAAGAGTTTTATAAATCATGCAACCTTACTCCATTGTCTTGATTAAAAAATAGGTATGCTTGGCATATATGTATCTGTGAGAAATGATTGCCTGTTCGCAGGCATAGAGCCCTAATAAGTCGACCTGAGTTATTAATGTGCACACAACACTAAATACTATGCTATTGAGTTGGGTTGAGGCCCGGTTGACTAATTAGGACTGTATGCCTGTGAACAGGCCCAGGAAAACAAATATGGCGACGTTCTTGCAGATACATGTACGCCAAGTGTTCAAAAACTGAACTGTGTCTTTATTGATATGGAGGGGCCAAATTAGATATGAAAAACTGTATACCTTTCATTTGTACTTCTGAAATGAATTCACTTTTCGTAATCAACAACTCTTCAAGTGGAACATTCTTGGAACTTGCAATGCACAACATCTGTCAAATTTTAATAACATTTCGTGAGAATGTGGTAGTTAGGTAAAGTGAGGGTCAGATAGGGCTATTACATTTAAAAAACAATTGTTGCATGCGATGTGTATATTTATGTTTGAGAAAAATTGTCTAGTTAACGATTGGTTAACGCAGAAAACTGGTATGCATGATTTTTGCTGCAAAAGATGTAGTCTGGGTGGCTCAAAATACCCAAAAATGAACATTTCTAACATTCTAGCTTTACCGGATTTACAAGGATATTTATTAGTGAAGATTAAAGCGATTTGATATATGCATAATTATAGAAGAATCGCGAAGAACAGCTTCGCAAAGTACAAATTTTAAGCAGAAATATCGCACTAAATTCGGGCTCGATCTCTACAAAATTCATCTCTATTAGCAATTTAAGCATTCTACTACAAATACTGATATTAAATAAAGCATCTTACCTTCAAATAAAGGTAGGATTGATCATGATACACCATTTTCGATACGATCAATTTTACCGCCATCTTCTTTTCACGAGGAGGAAGCAAATTTGAAACACGGACATCTCCGGAACCCGGTCGACGTTCGGAAACCCGAAGCTCAACGATGTAAGGCGAGCAGAAATCGACCAATCCAATAAGCCCAGGTGAGGATTAATGGCGCGGAACAAAGGGCGCGGAAGTAGGAATTAGGGGAATGCGGGATCAATGAACGGAGTGGTTGGGGGTGGGAAGCGTGGGAAACTGGAAAATGAGTGTGGAGGGAACTGGGTGTAAGAATTAAGGGGGAAAATTGTGGAGTGGGGTAAATAGTGAGTGGCGGATATATGACATTGACATCTCCATATATTTAAATTATGATTATGTGTTACATATTTCAGTCAAAACGAGGAATCGAAAGATCTCGTTTGTTTATTTTCTTGTGATTAAAATCCTGGACTGAGGAATAGATACGGAAAGTGTCCCATAAGCCTCGCCACCACTCTCTCGACTTTCAGCCTCATTAATGATGTGCTTAGTAAAATGAACTTAACAAAAAAAAAAACAGGACAATATATATATTCATAATCACATTTATTTGACTCGTGTCTTAAACATAAAGTAAACAGTGAAAATGTTTTTTACTACTATATAATAATTTTGTGAATTTCATCCTTTATCCGTCATAATTTTGTGGGGAAGAAAGTGATGAGTCCTTAATGCAACGTTTCCCAAGACCAAAGCCAAGATTAAGACATATCAGATGATCACTGCTGCACTCACAATCTCCATGGCGTTTACAAGATTTATTATAGCGACATGGGTTTTCTTCTGACTCCTTGTATTCCAATTGTCTTTTCTGAAAATAAATGAACACAAACTTTGTTTATTCGGCCTTGCCGGAACAAAGCAGTCTTTGCAGCCCCAAAGCGGCCAATATTTCAAAGTTGGTTTAAATTTTTTCAGACAAACAGTTCTGACTGCAAGTAGTTTATATATTCAGTGAGTATGGATCGTTTTAATAATAATAATAATAATAATAACTTTATTTACCCACGGTGATATTTCACAATAAAGTTAAAAATATTTACAAAATGAGAAGTGATCTTCCAATAGGCCGTGTTGATTTTTAGAATATCTCAAACGTGGGGAGTCCAGTGTAGGTATATTGTTTTATAACAAACTGCATTTGCCTTTGTGTGAACACAGTTAATAGACGTACATTACGTCTATTAACTGTGGTGTGAACTATACCCAGGGACGTTGCGAGGACATTGCCTTTGGGGGGGGGAGGGTGTAAGGTTAGAATTACCTGGAATTATCCAACTGAACGTTTTTACCTGATTTTGCGTTGGGTCATGCACCATGCATCGATGGCTTCTTCCGTTTACATTTGTGCACACCAAACTTTCTATGTCGCATTCGCACTCATCGTCTGTCGTACACGTCTGATGATAAGGACACGACGGCGTGTCCGCGAAGACAGCAAACTTTTTCTGGAAAAATGATGTTTGGCATTTGAGGATAGCTATTATATAACCTCAGCTATAAAACTAAATATTTTCCCTTAAATATTTAATGTTCCTTACTATTCGTATTCCTACAACCAATATATTCACATTCACGCAACTTCAAAAGTATTCATCTTCCAGAGTTCCAACCTAAATGCTCTCTCTCAGAGTCCATGGGAAAGGGTGATCTTCTGGCTGAATGTTACTATAGGACAAAACTTGAATATGGCTCTATAACAGGTCTAAGTGGTTTCTTCATGCAGTGTTGTCCAGGAAGGAACCTAACCTATAAACTAACTGGATAGCTCTATCAAGCTAGACCATTGTGCCAGCAATACGATTTCATGAAACGAAATGCTCTCTTAATTGAAAATTTCAACTCAACCCAAATCTCGTTCATGCAGTGCAGTTCAATGAATCAAATAACAGAAATGTGCCTGTACGTAGAATAATTGGCTCCTCAGTGCATGCACATATTAACTCTATACAGAAACAGCATGCATGACAAACAATTATATTGGCAAGTGAATAAATCAGAAAGAAATAGGAACTAACAAGAAAACAACTTACCTCGTTTCCAAATGTGAAAACAACGAACAAAAGAAAGAAAGGAACGGTTTTCAACGACATTCTTGGTTTGAGTGGTTATCTTTTGACGACGAGGACAAAAATGCCAAAGGAGAGACTTTTAATTGAATGTGCATGCCTTTTTATATATTCGATATTAAATTTTATAAAGACATCTACCGCATATTATACTTCTATTTAGTTTAGACCGCTATTATAAATCGATAAATTATATAATTGAATTAATAAATTGCCTTTACTTAAAAATAAACAAAATCTATTTTAACTGAATTTCTCGGCAAAATTGACCGCGTCTGCAATTAGAGCTATATAGATACAGTTATTTCAATCACGGTTGTCGCAAACAATGATCCAAGCACCAAAACGTCTAATGGGAATAAGTTATCTTATAGGGTAAAACGTATTATAAATCATGTATATTGATTGGGAATTGCCAAAACAAAAAGGAGCTATGGTCACAGCCACCTAAACACTAAAAATATTAAAACTTGGTGTGCTCATCTTGCTGTTCGTTCGCACAGAATCAGAATCAGAAAAGACATGTATATACAATTAATACAATCAACCTTTCTCACGGCCGATTTTCCCGCCATATTTGGGGTACTGCCTCTCCCACGCTTGAGAGTCTCCGCACCACAAAATACAACTTTTAGTATTGTAGTTGTTTGTATAATGGTAAATTTACAGTTACAACTTTCAAAAGTCGCTTTTCACACTTTTTGAATTGTCTAGAATTTTTCAAGAGGACAGACAGTACCTCCAAAATGGCGGATTTTGGCCTTCGTGAAAAAGGCTAATTGACTGGAATTTTCCTCATTAGCTTTGCAAATTTGAAAAACTCTTTGCAAATCCCTTGAGGGAATTTGCAATGTTCCTATCGGCTGTTGCAATATTCCAATGCAAACAAACTTCATTTTAAATTTTCCTAACTTCCTGTTTTAATTTCCTAACTTCCTGTTCTGTTCTGGGCGTTGTTATTCGTCGATTATTTTTGTTAGCCAATTGCAACGCCCAGAACAGATAGGAAGTTAGGAACCTGTAACAGGAAGTTAAGAACTTCTAACAGGAACTGAGGAAAATTTAATTGGCTTTTAGCAACATTGTAAATTTCCTCAAGGGATTTGCAAGGGAGTTTTTTAAATTGCAAAAGAAATAAGGAAAATTGCAATCAATTTAGAAACTCAAGACAAGAACGCTTTACGTAGTTTACCTGTAAAACTGTATAGTAACTTGTTTTAAAGATTTTTGTTCCCATGCTTTGTTCTTGAGATATTTCATTTTGTTTGTAACCATGTGACGTCATTTACTCAACTACATATATAATGAGATATCAGTAATTTTTGTGTATCTTTGCCATTTTTATCAAAATATTTCCAAATAAGCGGTCCGTTTGTTAATTTAACCTATATCATTAAATATATTGTTTTTTTAAACAAATCCATAAAAAATTAGCAAAGATACACAACAATTAATGATATCTCATTATATATGTAATTAAGTAAATGACGTCACATGGTTACAAGACTTACAAACAAAATGAAATATCTCAAAAACTAAGCATGGAAACAAATATCTTCAAAACAAGTTTATACTATACAGTTTTAAGAGCATTGATTTTCGTTTAAGAAAATAAAAATTTTGACGAGAGTGCCACTTTAACTGAAAAAGCCGTATAAAAGAAGTTGCATGGAAAGTCCTAAATGTTACATATTTCAATTTTTCAATATATGTAAATATACGAATTAAGATCAACTTTTAGTAATTCGTGATGATGGCTAAAGCTCAAGCAAAGTGTAGAGAATTGAAAATAATAAAAAAATTTGTACTGCATTTCGTTAAAATACACAGCGAATTTGGAAAAGAAGATAACTGTTTCACATTACATGTAAAATGTTTATTTTATAATGCTTTTATTTAAACTATACAAAAATGTAGTACACCGACATAAATTTCTTAAAGTGTATTCTTTATTAATTAAGGCAACGCATTATTTTGTATTCTTTTATTCAATTTCTTAAAAGGTTTCTTCGCTGGAATTGTCGGCACAGCCATAGCAAACATTTCATGGCTAGGTTCTCCTACCAGTTCTGAAAAATTCACCACTATGCATCTATGGTCTCCTTCCTTTACCCTTTTGCACCTCAAAAATTGGATTTCGCAGTTGCATTCGCTGTCTGTTGTACACGCTTTGTTGTAAGGACACAAATAGTTGACGCCGGCAGGATCAAATCTTTTTTGAAATAAAAAAATCATTTATGTCATGAATAAAGCAGCCTTTAGGTGCAAAAGATCTGTTTCTGGTAAGTACATGGGTTGCAACATGTTTATAATTCTTAAAATTGGAAATGCATCAATCAAAATTGGGACCGACATTTTGTGATTTTCGAGTGCTGGGAGGGTTTTACACCCCCGAACCTGTCATATAGCCTACCCTCATGTGCGCCCCTTTTATTGATTGTGATTAAAAATTATTAAGACCATAATTATTATATACTTTTTCAATAAAAAATTATACTGCAAAGAAATGCAATGCTCCTTTTATTTTTTATGAGTACGAATTCATCAGTGCGCATATTAACTCTACACAGAAACAGCATGCATGACAAACAATTATGTTGGCAAGTGAATAAATCAGAAAGAAATAGGAACTAACAAGAAGACAACTTACCTCGTTTCCAAATGTGAAAACAACGAACAAAAGAAAGAAAGCAACGGTTTTCAACGACATTCTTGGTTTGAGTGATTATCTTTTGACGACAACAACAAAAATGGCAAAGGCGAGACATTTAATTGAATGTGCCTTTTATAATTTATATATTCGCGATATTAAATTTTGTAAAGACATCTGCCGTATATTATATACTTGAATGAATAAATTATATATTATATAATTGAATGAATAAATTGCTTTTATTTAAAAATAAACAAAATCTACTTTAAAATTTCTCGGCAAAATTGACCGCGTCTGCAATTATAGAGCTTTATATATATACAGCTATTTCAATCACGGTTGTCGCAAGCAATCATCCAAGCACCAAAACGTCTAATGGGAATAAGTTATCTTATAGGGTGAAACGTATTATATAAATCATGTATATTGATTGGGAATTGCCAAAACAAAAAGGAGCTATGGTCACAGCCATGCACCTGAACACTAAAAATATTAAAACTTGGTGTACCCATCTTGGTGTTCGTTCGCACTTGACATGTATACAGCCAGCCTAGACCTAGGCTTTCTATTTTTATTTATATATTTTTAATATTCAGCGCTTTTTCACATGAAAAGACTGGGACTAGGTGATTTGGGGGCGGGGCGGCGGAAGGACACAAGCCTGACTTGCTTCCTCCGCCCCGCCCCCAAATCACCTAGTCCCAGTCTTTTCCTGTGAAAAAGCGCTGAATATTAAAAATATATAAATAAGACTAGAAGGCCTAGGTCTAGGCTGGTATACAGCTATTTCAATTAAGGTTGTCCCGCGAGCAAAGCGGAAAAGTCGAATACGAGCGCGAAAGGCTGCTGGGAATCGCTAATAAATTCATTCATTTATTAGCGATTCCCATCAGCCTTTCGCGCTCGTATTCGACTTTTTTTGCTGGGACAACCTTAATTGAAATAGCTGTATACAATTAACCTTTCTCATGGAAGATTTTCCCGCCATATTTGGGGGTACTGCCTCTCCCACGCTTGAGAGTCTCCGCACCACAAAATACAACTTTTAGTATTGTGTAGAATTTTTCAAGAGGACAGAGTGACATACAGTACCCCAAAAATGGCGGATTTTGGCCTTCGTGAAAAAGGCTAATTGACTATGACAACCTTAATTCATGAAAAAGCCGTATAAAAGAAGTTGCATGCATGGCAAGTCCTAACTGATGTTACATATTTCAATTTTCAATATATGCGAATATACGAATTAAGATCAAGCTGCTAAAATTTTTACAAGCTACTACAAACCTTTTGTAATTCGTGATGATGGCTAAAGCTCAAGCAAGATGTAGAGAATTGAAATTTTCTAAAAGAAGATAACTGTCTCACATTAAAAAGTTTATTTTATAATGCTTTTATTTAAACTATGCAAAAATGTAGTACACCGACATAAATTTCTTAAAGTATATTCTTTATTAATTAAGGCAGCGTATTATTCTGTCAGTAACTCTTATGCAATTTCTTAAAAGGTTTCTTCGCTGGAATTGTCTGCTCAGTAGAATAGAAGACGTAGGACCTAAAAGGTTCAACTCCCCCCGTTTCAAAAGTATTCACCATTGTGCATCTATGGTCTCCTTCCACTATCATTTTGCACTTCAAAAAAGCGATTTCGCAGTTGCATTCGCTGTCTGTTGTGCAGGCTTTGTTGTAAGGACACAAATCGTTGGCACGAGGAGCAAATCTTTTCTGAAATAAAAAATTCATTTATATAATGAATATAGCAGCCTTCAGGCGTAAAAGACCTGTTTCTGGTATAAGTACATGCGTTGCACAATGTTTATAATTCCTAAAATTGTCGGTTGGAAATGCATGAATCTGATATATATAGTTTTGGTTGTGAGCTTTTGAAAACGTGTTTTCACACCTTTTCTTCCACCGAAAAAATAACGTGCATCATTAGAAAGCTATATGAAGTACTAGATATAAGACATTTGAACGTTTAACTTGATTTTCCATGAAGCAGTGTTCGAGTTATTACTGTTCCAAAATTTGAAAAATAGGACGCCATGCAAAAACTCGCAAAAATCCTGGGCACTATATATATATGGTGTGAAAACACGTTTTCAAAAGGCTCATAACTAAAACTATATCAGAATCATGATCTATATCAGAATCACAAATTTATATCAGAATCATTTGTATAACTGATGAACCTAAAATTTAATAAATGCGAGTTTAATAAGAAAGTCAAAGAAAAACTCCGCCAACATATATAGAAACCTACTAACCATGCAGCCATAAAGGCACGAGATGAAGGCAGAATAAAATCCGCCCTTGATCGGATGTACTTTGCCCTCCTATCTGCCTGACTATAGTACAAATGTTAAAAAAGCTAAAAAGTGCCACTCACCTTGGCTGGAGCAACTGTTATAGCAACGAGAAGAAATGTGCAAAATGCAATTGTTTTTATCATTTTTTAAACTGACCCTTGAGACCGAGAATTTCAGCTACTGAGTTTCGATGAAAATATGCTCTTCACATGCACAAAATAGAGCTACGGTATATACTGTAGGTTTACATAATTTAAATTATAATCCTTTTAAAAATTTTTGTCTTTGAATTATTTAATATTTATATATGACTATTGTTATTTAAAATAATTGTCTTATAATAATTCTTAATCACCATCAATAATCGTTTTGTCAAACACCCCAGTCCTAAGCCTTCGAGAATTTCAAAACATAAGCCTTCATGGTGGAGAACAATTTTTGTGTCCATGAAACGTTCTCGTTGGTTGAGAAAATTGAAAAGGAGATTCAAAAAGCGACGTCGTGGCTAGTATAATAGTACACTCGTGTGTTATAGTTTTTGCACCAATGCATTATGGGAATTGTATAGCAAATTGTACAGTAAAAACAATGACAACGTTAAATGTTAAAACGAGCGAGAAATGAGAATAGATTTGCATGTATATAGAGAAATAATGTAAATGCAAAAATTCATACACAATAAATATCGATATATATACATATATATAGAACTAATACAGCAGGGTTTCTCGTAGATGGAATTTTAATTTGAACGTATAAATTTCTATACACTTACTTAGACTCTTAGTGTTAAACATGCACTAAGTGAGTTTCCTCAAATATTTCTTACAAATCCTTCAAAACAGGCACGGATTTTCTGGGTGGGGGGTGCGCACCCCCCAGAAATGATTTGCACCCCCCCCCAGAGGCATTTGGCACCGCCCCCAAAAGTTTTTGCACCCCCGCAAATGATATATATTTTGATTTGATAGTTTTATGTTTGATTATTCTTACTACTAAATTTGTAAAATTACCAATATTATGGTCTCAGATCTCGCATACAGGCTTAGAAAACAGATTTTGTTAACTTTTTCCTTGGCTTTTCCAGGCGTTGCCACCACGCCCCGGTCAAAGCAAGCAGCAGCACCCCCCAGTTGTTTATCCACCCCTCCGAACGAAAATATGAAAATCCGTCTCTGCTTCAAAACTTAAAATTCACTTATGCAAAATTCCTACTATGTTAACAGTAACTTTGATAGTGTAATTAAATAGCCTTAATTTCGTTTACATTAGCTAGACGAATTTAGATTAGAGATGAGAACTATATAGACACCGTCTAGCTATCAATATTCTATGCCTGTCTGCAATATAAAATTCGGCAAACACCAAAGACCTTAATATTTGATTTAAAGATTTAAACAAACATATGAGAAATTAATTAAAATGATGGAATGAAAAATTTAATAAGTATATACTGTTTTGTCTATAAATAGGCGGCGCCATGAAACATTTGCAATGCATGACTTAATTTTGGGATTTCAGTTGACGGGCAAGTATGACAAAAACGACTATTTTAATGTATTGATCGAGTTTAGAGACAGTTTAAGAATCAAAAGATGAATTGCGTTCAGTTTTTCTTGCTACAACCATTCTGCATGATGGGAGAAAAATCGCGTCCACAAGTTGTTTGATTGCCCGTCATTTGGATGAAAGTCACGTTATTGCAAACAAAGATTACGTTGTGAACATATTGCATATTGCATTTTCATATGTTTACACACAATTTAGCATTTGCAGGAAAGTGCAGAAAATGCATGCACATGCCGTTTCCTGCACTTTCCGGGACTGAGTTGAAGAATTTGGATGAAAAACATTTGACAGACATTTGTGGCTTGGGGATTAAACAACTGTCATAGCAGAAATTTGGGACCAACTTTTTATACAGTCTCAATTTAAAATTGGGACCGACTTTTTGTGATTTTCGTGTGCTGGGAGCTATAGGTTTTACACCCCCGAACCCGTCACACCCTCCAAAATGTTAAAACAACATAAAAACCATAATCAAGAATTGGGCAGAAGCTATATAAGAACCATAACACGTTTATTTTCGCTAAATGAATAATCTCTACAGAGATATCAAAATGAAAGCATTCTTCTTAATTAAACCGATTATATCAATATAATAGACTTTTCAGACTTTTATGTTTAATAAATTTTATCAGACATAATCCATAACATGTTTATAATTAGGACAATAATATAGCCTACATTGTTGCATGCACAGGTTTCCTTCTCCAATTATTTTGGCCTAATTTGCCATGTTTCGTTTTCGTTTTATATAGCCGCCATTTTTATACTGTAATCGCTATGCACATCTTGGTGATGAAATTAAACAGGATTATCTTTCAATTCTGAAAAAATTAAATTATAAATACTCCATGATATATATATATAAGGTTAAGATTATAATTGAAGACTTTCCAATTAAACAGTTATGAAGTCAAGCAAAATTTATCTTGTCTATCCTAGCTTTGTAGTATATTTACTACTTCTGGTATGCAAATGTTCAGCAGCAAAATTTATATGGGGATTACAGGTATAGATAGACAACGGATTGTACGTCTAAAAATGCATAAATTTGGCAATTTTTTGAAGATTTATCGTGCATGCAATGATTACCTCTGCAGACATAGCATTGTCATGTAATATCTGATATCAAATTAGTCACAGGAAGGACCTTACTGGACCACTAGGAGGAAAGCAGTTTAGAATATTGTGATATCCAGCTATCCAGCTTAAAAAGGGCAGTTTAGTTTAGTATAGGCTTCCTTATTCATGTTATAAACTGGAGCGACGTCCCTTAGCAGACTTCTATACAAAGAACAGTTTAGAGTCTGAAATGATAAAGCTATATCCAGTATAAATACAGGTATAGTCGACGTTTCTCTTGTAGTAAACCTTGACAAGTACAGTATATAAAGGGCGGTCCTTTCTGGACCATTAGGAAAAACAGTTTGAGAATTTTTAGAGCAATATCCCAGTGTAACTAAAGTTAGTTTTCAGTCTTGTAGCTTGACCAACAAGGAATTGCCCAACAAGGAATTGCCCTTATATTCAACCTTTTGGAACTGACAGAGTTAGTCAAGCAAGAGAGACATGACCTTTATCGAGTTATCGGACCTATAGGAGAACAATAATCTTAAAGACATATTGCGACAATTTTTGTTATTTTCCCCTATTTATTGTATAATCTTTTGCAGACAATTTTGAGAACCCCAACCCTAAACTTTACCCAATAGGTTGACCCAACTATAGGACCCTATAAACCCTAACTTCCCGATATACTCAAGTTCTCATAAAATTTTTTTTCCACATCCGCATGGAGCTATCCAGTACAACGTGAGGCCAATTTTTACTATGTTTGTTTTAAAGGCGCCTGTTCCAAGAAGATCGTCAAATGGTTGCCAATTTGAGCAAGAATGCAGCCAGGACTTGGATTGTTCGTGTGGTCTTCTGCCTATGGTGTGTGCTATTGGATCACCAAGAAAATGCCTGTGGTTGCAAACAGGCCAGGTCGGGTTAAAAGTAGCCTTGCCAGCCACACAAACTGTAACCGTCCCACCAATGAAAACTACGTCGAAACTCAAACACCCCAGTCCTAAGCCTTCGAGAATTTCAAAACATAAGCCTTCATGGTGGAGAACAATTTTTGTGTCCATGAAACGTTCTCGTTGGTTGAGAAAATTGAAAAGGAGATTCAAAAAGCGACGTCGTGGCTAGTATAATAGTACACTCGTGTGTTATAGTTTTTGCACCAATGCATTATGGGAATTGTATAGCAAATTGTACAGTAAAAACAATGACAACGTTAAATGTTAAAACGAGCGAGAAATGAGAATAGATTTGCATGTATATAGAGAAATAATGTAAATGCAAAAATTCATACACAATAAATATCGATATATATACATATATATAGAACTAATACAGCAGGGTTTCTCGTAGATGGAATTTTAATTTGAACGTATAAATTTCTATACACTTACTTAGACTCTTAGTGTTAAACATGCACTAAGTGAGTTTCCTCAAATATTTCTTACAAATCCTTCAAAACAGGCACGGATTTTCTGGGTGGGGGGTGCGCACCCCCCAGAAATGATTTGCACCCCCCCCCAGAGGCATTTGGCACCGCCCCCAAAAGTTTTTGCACCCCCGCAAATGATATATATTTTGATTTGATAGTTTTATGTTTGATTATTCTTACTACTAAATTTGTAAAATTACCAATATTATGGTCTCAGATCTCGCATACAGGCTTAGAAAACAGATTTTGTTAACTTTTTCCTTGGCTTTTCCAGGCGTTGCCACCACGCCCCGGTCAAAGCAAGCAGCAGCACTCCCCAGTTGTTTATCCACCCCTCCGAACGAAAATATGAAAATCCGTCTCTGCTTCAAAACTTAAAATTCACTTATGCAAAATTCCTACTATGTTAACAGTAACTTTGATAGTGTAATTAAATAGCCTTAATTTCGTTTACATTAGCTAGACGAATTTAGATTAGAGATGAGAACTATATAGACACCGTCTAGCTATCAATATTCTATGCCTGTCTGCAATATAAAATTCGGCAAACACCAAAGACCTTAATATTTGATTTAAAGATTTAAACAAACATATGAGAAATTAATTAAAATGATGGAATGAAAAATTTAATAAGTATATACTGTTTTGTCTATAAATAGGCGGCGCCATGAAACAAATGGTCATTCAATCTTGGCTATATGATTTGTAATTTACTATATTATTTTCCTTTTGTGATATACAACTAATACAGTGTTTTATCTTGCTTCAAACAAAGCATGAAGTTCTGGGGAAAATCTATGATATGTCTCGTCCTCATTTTTAGATGCTCAATGGCGTCCACTGTATGGAAAGTAAGTTGACGCCAAGAATTAAGATGGCGGAAATAGGCAACTCCAGCTTTTAGTTTATACGTGCAAGGGGGATGGGAAGAAAGGTTTCATATTGAATTGTTAAAATGACCTGGAAAAGACAAATTTTGAGCTTTATTCTAAGCATGCTGTTGCTATGACAACAGATTGTTAACACAAAAGTAGCATTATGCAATGTTCAGGAGATCATTGTCAATGTGTCCAGTAAATTTCGTCTTCATATCATGTAAAGTGAAGAAACAGGAGTCTCCTGAATACTATACTGTAATAAATTAAAAACCCCTGAGGAGCCACCTTAAATGGATTAAGTTTAAACGCCAAATCAGTTCCGCCATCTTTGGGTTCACTTTTTAGACGCGAGTTCTTAGTCCAGATATATATGGATCTTACTGGTTGTAATAAAATACCGGATAACTCTATCAGTTCTGAACTGTTCTCCCCTCGAGTTCCAGTAAGCGTCATCTTTTATGTTGCATCAGGGAGATATGAACATTGCTTGAATACTTAACAGTTATTCTACGAACTCGAGTCGAATATGAGCTGAGGCGCGTAGCGCCGAATCGGCTGTCGCCCATATTCGACGAGAGTGAGTGGAATAACTGTTTTATTATATACACAAGGTCTGAATTCACAGACTTTGCTTTTCGGATATTTTCAATATTTTTCTATTTTGTTTATGCTTTTATCTTCGCTCTTTCGGCCGATTATTTCTTCAAAAATATATATTTTTAACCATTTTAAATTTTAAATATTCATTTGCTAACCTGTAAACAATTTGTGGAAATTTTTTCATGATTGTGTTTTTAATCCTGTAGGGGCTATAAAAAGCGAACAACTTGCCGTTTTCTCTTTCGCAAAAATCGGAAATTCAGTTTGAGCCGCCATTTTGTTTTTCTCTACTAGTAGGATATGAGCTATTATCCTGCTAGTAGAGAACTAATCAGATTGCAGAATACCTCATATCCAGACCTTGTGTATATAATAAAAGCATTTATGCATACAACTAAACTATTTTTTCGCTTATGTAAATGACGGAATTCGTTCTTATGTATTCTTTTTATTTTTAAGGTTTCTGACGTATGCAATATGTTCCAACCGTGCAGTAAGAATTCGGATTGCCATTGTAGTATATTTCCGTTGGTGTGTACAAACACTGTTCCAAGGATGTGTATTGGACAGATTATAGGCGATATAGGGGACGACGTCTAACCACAGGAAAAAATTCCATTAATGGATTTTTGAATGTAGCTAAAACTGACATTTACATGGAAATTCCGCTGACTCCATACGAAAAGTAAATGGAACAAGAATATTTCGACGGCCCAACCGGAACTTTTCCGGAATGAACGGTTTGTTTGAAAAGGTTGTCCTCTCTTACCGATTGGAACGTTTCAACCGGTGAATTTTGTCCCATTTACATCTTTTTTATTTTTCACCAGTTCCAGGCTCTTCTCGATTTAACAATTGGAATTATTCAACCCTTCAGTGTCTTTCGGTCAGTCACTCTAAATGGAAAGCTCATAATCCGAATGGGATTTTCTATCCGAAATTTTGCTTACCATTAGCCCAACTTCAAACCGGATGGGTTTTCCATGTAAATGTAAACAACCATAGATTTCCCATACGATAAATTAGTAAAAAACCATGATGTTCAATATTCACCAGGAATTAAAACACCATTATAATGGTAAATATCATGCATGTTTTTACCATGAATACCTATAATAATAATAATGGCAAGAGTTCAGTTTTTTATATTGATGGTATACATGGTAAACCTTTCAAAAAACCATTCAAAAACCATTAATGGAAATTTTTCCTGTGTATAAGTTAGGCAGATAACGTCAATATATGTCACTATGCATGTATATATAAATTTAATGTGTGTTTGCTTTTATGGGTATCAATTGGATAACAACGAAAAATTGGATAACGGATTGCAAAATGTGCAAAAAGGAGATTGATTATATATATAACCTATAAGTTCAATTGCAAATTAGATATTATGGATAATTGCAAGTAAATAAAAATGTTGATTAAATTATCTGATATTAATAATTAACGGGTAATATTTGAACTCATATACCGAAAGTCGATCAATATTGAAAAAAAATAATAATAAAATATTTTATACTTAAATCAGTGCAGTGAAACGTCACATAAAGTAGCTTAGTCGACCAGTAATATATAGGCTCACAAAGATTATAAAATATTAAATTAATGCAATGAAAAATTAATGACAAGATTACTTGTACGAATATTTTTTTTTAATTTTTAGCTTGTGTCGATAATTTTTTTAAATATAATCCCTTGCACAAATTGTTTTTATCTCAACTTATAATTTTCCCTATTGAAAAGTTTCCGCACGAACTTTTTTTTATTTCAACTTATAATTTTCCCTCTTGAAAAGTCTCTGCACAAATTCTTTTTATTTCAACTTATAATTTTCCCTATTGAGAAGTCTCGTGCACAATTTTTTTTTATTTCAACTTATAATTTCCCTATAGAAAAGTCTCTGCACAAATGTTTTTTTATTTCAACTTATAATTTTCCCTATTGAAAAATCTCTGCACGAATTTTTTTTATTTCAACTTATAATTTTCCCTATTGAAAAGTTTCTACACAATTTTTTTTATTTCAACTTATAATTTTCCCTATTGAAAAATCTCTGCACAATTTTTTTTATTTCAACTTATAATTTTTCCTATTGAAAAGTCTCTGCACGAATTTTTTTTATTTCAACTTATAATTTTCCCCATTGAAAAATCTCTGCACAATTTTTTTTTTTATTTCAACTTATAATTTTTCCTATTGAAAAGTCTCTGCATGAATTTTTTTTATTTCAACTTATAATTTTCCCTATTGAAAAATCTCTGCACAAATTTTTTTTTATTTCAACTTATAATTTTTCCTATTGAAAAGTCTCTGCACGAATTTTTTTTATTTCAACTTATAATTTTCCCTATTGAAAAGTCTCTGCACAAATTTTTTTTTCAAACTTTCTTGGTGTACGAATTTTTTTCTCTCTGTTTCCCCTGCGCAATTTTTTCCCTTTCACCCCCCCCCCCCATTTTTTTTCTAATGGTCCGCCCCTTGGGCAAGTTTAATATTACGAATAATAAAAGTCTAACTAAATGCAATAACAAGATTACATGATATACTACTATTAAAAAATTATATCGCAATAGAAGTAAGTGTTGTGAGCTATAAATAAAAGAACGCGTAATCAGGCAATATCCAGTCAGATACGCTTTGCACAGAGTTAAAACTTTACATTAAGAATCGAAAGGAAGCATGTCACCAATGAAGATTTACGCGTTTTGTTTTCTCCTTATCCTTGCTCCGTTGTTGGTGACAAGTGCACCATTATTCTGGAAGGTAATAAAATTCAAACTTGTTGTTGTGGGAAACATTGCTTCCTAACCATGTAACCCAAACAAAGTGGGCAAACCAGGAAACATTATTTCCTTGCCAGGTTTCCAAAAGATGACAAACCAGGAAACGTTATTTCCTATACACATGTTTCTTAATAAAGGTGGGCGAACCAAGAAACAATATATATGCACGTTTCCTATAGCTATGGTTCTTAAAAGAGGACAAACTAAGAAACATTGTTTCTTCGCCATGTTTCCTAGCCATGATTCCTGAAGATGGGCAAACCAAGAAACATACATGCATGAGTTTCCCATGTTCCGCAATGGTAACCCTGGACACATAGTTTTCTAGCCATGTTTCCCAAAGGTAGACAAACTAGGGAACATTGTTTCCTAGCAATCCACACATGTTTCTTGAAGGTGACCAAACCAGGACACGGCATGGGCAACCCTGGTGATATTGTTCCCTATTGCCATGTTTCTTAAGGTGTGCAAACCAAGAAACATTGTTTCCTAGCCATGTTTCTTGAAGATGGGCGAACAACGAAACAGTGTTTCCTGGCCATGTTTCCCGAAAGTGAACGAGCAAGGAAACGTTTGCTTCCTACTCCAAAAAATTGTTTTCCAAAGGTGCGAAAACCAAGAATTATCTGAACAATTTTTAACATTTTAATTTGTATTACCCTCTATATTACAGATTTGGAATTGTACATTGCACCAAGGATGTAATAATAATTTGGATTGCTCCTGTCTTTTCAAAAAGTTGGTATGCACCGCTGAAAACATATGCGCTGAGCACGGTATAGATTCGGCCTTGGGAAAGAAATAAGGAAAAGTGCGAGTCATACGTTCTATAGTCAAAGAAAAGTTTAAAATTCTTGTAGAAAATACGAGGAACATAGAGAATGATGTAGATTGTAAGACAAATATAATATTAAAAAAAAAAAAAATTGTTGTTGATATTTTCTGTACTAGTAGGGATCGAAAACACGCCAGATGCCTGATTTATTCCTGATTTATTTTAATTTTGGGGTAGGTAATAGCTAAGGGATAAGGACATGCGTCTGGGATCTCTCGTTTGTGGCTTATACTTTTAAGTATTATTTCTTTCATGGAGTTCTTATATCTTCAACAAGGTCTGGAAAGTAGACCATGTTATATATAGGGGCGCGCATATATAATGCGTGCACTGTTTTTGTGTCTTTTGTATCAATTGTGACAATAGGAGAAGTCCCCCCACAAGCTACAGACAATAGTACTTTTACTTTTACTTTTTACTTCAAGTAGTTTTAACGATACTTTGTACTTTTTACTTAAGTACGTTTTGCCTCCAGTACTTTTAACTCTTACTCAAGTCGTTTTATTGTTAATTATACTTCTACTTTTTCTCGAATACAAATTCAAAGTAATTTAGGCACAACTGGCACTGAACATATACCGCATCACCGGAAGCGAAGGGCCACGGGTGCGCTACCTGTCAGAGGGCCTATATAGTTGCATTTTCGAAAGTGCCCCTGGTTTGGTCTAAAGAAATGTATGCAAATTTACACTCGGAATTTTCATCTACAGAATCCTTCAACATTAATTCAATGAAAAAGTTATGACAAGATTACAAAAAAACGATTAGAAAATATATATTAATATTACGAATAATAAAAGTATAACTAATTGCAATAATAAGATTACATGATATTATAATAAAAGAGAATGTCGTGGACTACATTTGCGCAGAGTTGAAAGTTTACATTCGTTTCACTTAAGAATCGAAAAGAAGCATGTCATCAAGCAAGATTTACCCTTTCTGTTTCGTCTTTATCCTCGCTTCGTTGTTAGTGACAGGTGCTCCAAAGTGGAAGGTAATAATTTTTTTTGCGGAAACATTGATTCCTAACCGTGATGTAACCCAAACAAAGTGGCCAAACTAGGAAACATCATTTCCATACCAGATTTTCCAAAGGTTGACAAACCAGGAAACATTGTTTCCTAGACATGTTCAATTTCCTAAAGGTGGCCAAACCAGAAAACATTGTTTCTGAAACATCATTTCCATATCAGGTTTCCCAAAGGTTGAAAAACTTGGGAACATTCTTTCGTAGACATGTTTCCCGAAGGTGGGCAAACAATTAGGGGAACACGGTTTCTTAGCCATGCTTCTTAAAAGATGACAAACCAGGAAGCATTGTCTCCTATATGTCAGCGTCAGTTGGGTTGTTAAGTTTGTCAAAAGCAAAGTGTAGGTTTACAATGTATTGCACATGTTCGCAGTTGTGACCTACCTCTCATAGTGACCTACTTTCGTTTTCAGGGTCAAAAGCGAGATGAGTACGGTGCATGGTCTGCAATGTTTCAAGAAGACAATTGCCCATATGATCAAGATTGTACAAGCAATATTCAATGTGAATGTGAAGATTATCACTTGGAATGTAGAACGATTGGATCTCTTAACCGACGGTGTATTGAAGTGGTTGATAACGCTTGGGAACGCAGTGGAAAACCATATAAACCTGAGACCGATAAACCTTTTGAATCTATCATACAGGTAGGCTACTATACCGTTTATCTTTTTATTATATCATATAAATTCTCAGTAAGTTAAATAAAAAAATAAAAAACAGAGAGAGTTCAGATTAGAACGATTGAGTGTTATGCGAGCAAGAGAAATAACCCTTATCGTAATTTTTTGAAGACAATTTTGATAACCCCAATCCTAACCCTAGGGTTAACCCAACTAGGATCCTAAACGCTAACTCCCATGATAACCAATTCCACCTCTGGAGCTATCCAGTATAAAGTGAGACCAATTTTCACTACGTTTGTTTTAAGGCGCCTACTCCAGGAAGATCGTCAAATGGTTGCCGATTTGAGCAAGAATGCAGCAAAAACTCGAATTGCTGGTGTGGTTTTCGGCCTATGGTGTGTACTGTTGGATCACAAAGAAAATGCCTGTGGTTAAAATCAGGCACGGCCGGGATAAATGTAGCCTTGACAGCCACACAAACTGCAACCGTCCCACCAATGAAAACTACGTCGAAACCCAAACACCCCAGTCCTAAGCCTTCGACATTTTCTAAACAGACGCCTTCAAGTTGGAAAACAATGTTTGTGCCCAAACGTTCTCGGAGGAGATTCAAAAAGGGACGTCGTGGCTAGTATATATAATAGTACACAATGCATTATGGGGATTGTATAGTTACAGTAAAAATAATGACAAAATTAAATGTAAACGAGCGAGAATAGATTTGTATGTAATGAAATGATACAAAAATTCATACAAATAAATATCGATAGAACTTCTATAGCAGGATTTATTGTAGATGGAATTTTTGAACGTATTTTAATTTCTACACACTTAGTGTTAAACATGCACTGATTTACCTACAATTTACCTATGCACTGCGCATGCTTTAACATGATAAGGTAAAGCCATTCAGGGATGGATTTACTGGGGGGGGGGGGTGCGTGCACCCCGCCTAGCACTGGCCAGAGAGGGTGCAGGGGGGTGTGTGCTATTTTTCACGATAAAGCAAAAAATTATTAGAGACAAAATGAGATACAGTAATTTGAGTAATAACATGGTGATAAGCGAACTGTGAACAACAATTACAATTCAAATACAGTAGTCAAGCAAGACTTTGCAGTAGTGAAGCAAGTTGATGGGCGGGCGGCACACATGACCGACACAACTCGGCACCAGAGCTGGCAGAGCACCCCCCCCCACCAGATCATGCTGGATCCATCCCTGAATCCATTAATGGGACAATCACGTTCAGTGTTTTCAATTATCAGATCCGGTCAGGGGTTTCAGGTGTATCGGTGTTTAGACATTATCCATTGTCGAGTAAAATCGTCTTCAAAATTAAGACAGATTAAAAATCAAATTCAATTTTATTATTTCATTATATAATTTTAATCTTAGTTAATTAAACCAATTCACTGAAATGAGATTAAATATGATTGGTTTTTATAATTAAATGAACTATTTAAGGAAGAACATTTATTATGATATTCATTGCCGTTTGGTTTATTGAGGAATAAAAATGAACGCTGTATCATTTGTTATATGTTACATTACCTTGCTGTTGCTGTCTTCTGCACATGGCCAATGGGTGAGTGTTTGTAAGTCGTTCAACAAAAAAACAATAAAAGTTAATTAAGGAAACTCTCATGTAAACTCTCGTGCAACTCTTGTTCTCGTTTGACCAAATAATGAAAGTGAAGGAAATTCTCATGTAAACTCTCGTTTGCCAACTCTCATACAAACTCTTGTTCTCGTTTGATCAAGCAATGGAAGTCAAGGGAATTCTCATTCAAACTCTCACTTTCCAACTCTCGTGCAAACTCTTGTTCTCGTTTGATCAAGCAATACATAAAAGTCAAGGAAATTCTCATGTAAACTCTCGCTTGCCAACTCTCATGCAAACTCTTGTTCTCGTTTGATCAAGCAATGAAAGTCAAGGAAATTCTCATGTAAACTCTCGTTTGCCAACTCTCGTGCAAACTCATGTTCTCGTTTGATCAAGCAATAAAAGTCAAGAAAACTCTCATGTAAGCTCTCGCTTGCCAACTCTCATGCAAACTCTTGTTCTCGTTTGATCAAGCAATAAAAGTCAAGAAAATTCTCGCTTGTCAACTCTTGCTTGCCAACTCTTGCTCTCATTTGATCAAACAATGAAAGTTGAGAAAACTCTCGTGCATGTTAACTGTCGTTTGTGAACTCTCATGCAACTCTTGTTCTCGTTTGACCAAGCAATGAAAGTTGAGAAAACTCTCATGTAAACTCTCATGTAAACTCTCGCCTTGCCAACTCTTGTTCTCGTTTGATCAAACAAGGAAAGTTGAGAAAACTCTCATGCAACTCTTGTTCTCGTTTCATCAAGCAATGAAGTTGAGGAAACTCTCACATTGATGAACCACAGCTAGGTAGATTCTAAACAAAACTGACTTTATTTAAACTGGACAGCCCCATCAGTTCTAAAATGTTCTCCTTGTAGGTCCAGCAAGGGTCATTCCTTAATAACGATGCAAAGTTACTATACAGAAATATACCATAGAGCAAGAACCAAGTAACCATAAATGCTTTGATTTTCAGACGAACACTTTGTGTCCCGACCTGGAACAGCCATGCAGTACCGGATGCCAAAATTGTGTCTTCTACGATCTGGTTTGTGACGAAGGACTGAACATGTGTGTGCAAATAGATCAGAAAATTCCTAACCCAGCAGGAACGCCACCCAGCGCCCTCAATTGGACCGTTGAGATAAAAGACGCAGATGATTTGTTTGGCTAAGATTAAAATGGAGTGATTTTGCCAAGTTCATATTTAGATCTTAGAACTGTAGGTGAAAACATATAGAAATGCCGGTTGTTTATGTCTATAGGCCTATATGTGGTATAGAAACGTATAATAAATAAATGTCCATTTCATCGCAATTTGTGTGTTATAATGAGGGCTTTTTCTATGTTACGTAACACGCACTCTAAACCATAGTAAATAGAGGGGATGGTTTGGAAGGTGGGGGCGTGGTCAAATTATGTTATTGTTCTCTGTCACATGACAATACCAGTGCATCCCATTGAACTAAAAATAACTGGAACGCTACGTTCAAGCGGAAATTTGAAGCTAAATTCTACAAGGTCGTACACAGGCTTTAACTCTTTCTCAACAGGGTCCAATTTCGTCGACCGCGAGCGGTCGACAGGCTCGAAATTTCATACTTTCGGTTCAGTGCATGCTATGAAGACAGAAATACCACCATTCGATTCAGAAATAAAATATCAACTAGTTCCAAACGATAGTTATAGTCATTATTAGTATTGTAACGATTTATGGGCCTTTGAAAGTCAAAACGATCATATTGTATCAAATTACGCAATTGTCTGAACAAAAATACAGATTATTATAGACTAGCCATACCTTTCGCCGAAAATAACTTCGGCCCCATCGAACATATCGTCTTTGTAATAGTCTTGTTCGAATCCCCATTAAATAGTGTTTTTGGGGTGTTATTTGCAACCCTGAATCTACAAATCTGTATCTTTTATCAATATATTTCCATTTCTTGTCCGACTGTGAGCTCGAAGTGAATTAATCCCAACCGGAAATACGACTCAAAACCGTCAAAACAATGCGGCGTTTGTATCGTATGACCCTGGAAAGGCCAGAAATGGATTCGCAAGGTCAAATTGCACCTACACGCGTGAGTTTGACGTCATCCCGGCCAAAGGAGCTTCTTATTGGCCAATTATTGCGAATGTACGCAAGTGCGAGTAAAACCCGACACTTGAAAAATTCAAAATAAATATTTCTAGTCGGCGTATACATACGAAACTTTCTACACGAAAGCGCTTGAATACAGAGAGTATTTTACACGTATAGCCGTTCAGCAAATGATGAAAAGTTCAAGGGGTATTCAAGATCTTGTGGATATGAAATTTAGAATCTTTGGCCAAGCGGTGAGTAAATATATGATTGTTTCGCTTTGTGTAATGTTTTGACGGCACTTGACCCCCCGTTCGAAAGGTTATTTTATGAGGATTTCAATGGTGGCATTTATTTAAAAGGGGGGTAAATACTCGCCAAGATATTGTATCGAAATGTAATACGAAACCGGTTTAAAAGACCCGTTTTAAATTGAAAAGGCCCGTTTCCCTTTCGATTTGCATCCTGCCATGAAAACGTTCAAAACGGCATGCTTCGAGCGCCCCCTGCATTGTCTCGCGAGTAAATCGCGCAGTAGAAACACGCGTGGAAGTGCGTGTCTGGGAGTCAAATTTGGCTTCATGGGAGTCAAATTTTGGCTTCAAAATTTGCATGCGCAGTTTACTGAACGTAGCGTTCCAGTTATTTTTAGTTCAATGGTGCATCCCAATCTTATTGAGTAATACGAGTATAACAGAGCATAACGTAAGCATGGATAATAAAATAAATGGATAGGACTCTAGCTGACGTAAGCAAAAACAACCTGGTTGCAATCTGTGACGTCACGCGTATTGCAAAGTTCTCGGCATTTTTGTTGTTTCGCTATACTTTCCGCTTTAAAAGAGTAATATTGAAGCATAAACTGGTCTAATTGTTTTAAAAACATACCTAAGCCACGACAAAGTATTCAAGGTAAATGTTTTTCGTCTTTGTTTTGTATTTTTTTACATTTAATTGTAGCTACGAAATTGGCGCCCCCAATTTTAACGAAATTTGCGATGCATTTTTCACTGTTTAGTGCTTGAAATATTTGCTAAAATTGACTGGGAATACTTAGAGATTTGTAGAATGGCTTAGTCATATTTATTTGCTCTTTGACTAAAATGTTTAGCTGTATTATTGCTAAAGATGCCGTTTTTGAGAATTTGGTTTGCAACTAGGTTTGAACATCCAACCACACCATCAGTCCGTTGAAAACAATAGATCACGTTAGCTAGTTTCCTATCCATTTATTTTATTATCCATGACGTAAGTATAAGCAGAGCGTATAGTAAACCATAGTAAAATGCAAAGTATAACAGATCAATGTGTTCTTGCCATAATGGAGAAACTGTGTGCGTTTCATGTTGCCATAATATGCTGTTATATGTATGTAATTAAGACGAGGTGTTGTGTTTGTATAGGTAATAGGGAGCTTTAGATTTGACCACGAGTACGACTACGAGTACGAGATTCGTCAAGCTAAACGCATGCTGTATGCTTACGCCATCCCGTACTTACGCTAAAAAGTCGTAGCCGTCGCCCATCTGAGTACGAAATTGTGGAGAAACCTCGTAGTCCTCACGACGACTTTTCAAAAAAAACAAAGAAAGTTGG